AGGTAAACGCCCAAGTTTTCATTTGACTAAAAAACTTGGCTATGATCAACTTTAATTTGAAGTAACTATCAGAAGCTCATCCAGGTTGATGATAAAAAAAATATTTAGAAGCATTGAGTACGTTACATTAAGACAATTATGAATATGCAAATAAGCAAGTCACTTTACAATCACAGTCGATATAAAGTCGTGATGGATGGCCATGTATCAGAATTACATTATGGCATTGTTTGGCGTTTCGCAGTCAGTGTGATGCCACCGAAAATTGATTGCTTTTGGGTTTGTTTGTTTGTTTTTTTGAAATTAAGCACAAAGTTACACAATGGACTATCTGTGCTTTGCCCACCACGGGTATCGAAACCCGGTTTCTAGCGTCGTAAGCCCGCAGACATACCGCTGTGCCACTGGGGGGCTGCTTTTGGGAAGGAAATGTAATAGCTCTTTCCGACGCAAAATATTCATACATTTAAGTTAAAGACATGTTTAAATCTAGGATTTGCATTTTCCAAAAGGGGATTATCCCTTGTACTTAATGGCAACGGAAAACAAAGGAATACGGATCCATTGAGGGTACCAGGACCACCGAGAGAGAGGGTTACAGCAAGTCATACCACTGCCATGGAAATCCAAGTGCGGCGTCTGGTAACAGGTGGTAATCCATGAACACAAATATCAAGAGGGATCTTCGTCTTGAAACGAGACCAACAGGGTATAAATTCGCCAATATAAGACTTTTAGTCATACGTCATGTTCAACCATCGCATACCTCAAGCATCTAGAAAATGAATCGAGTATCAAGTCGCCCGATGTAGCATCTATGGATTTCTTTACGATCAGACTTTTGAAACGGGAGCTGGGACACCGTTGTCCTTGTACAATAGATGGATTGTGGAAAGACTGCAGAAAGGTGTGTTGTACTTTGTATATTATAGCCTTACACCGAAGCCTTTTACTATAGAAACTACGAGGACTATTGTCAAACTTCATAATAATCAGATGGCACATGACTAAACTTAGCAACATGGACTGTAAAGATGTGGTGATATTCCAATTCGCTTTAATATAGCGTACTTAATTAACTACTTCAAAACTCGCTCAAACAAACAACTTAAGTTCTCCTCGTTACGGGCCCACAGCTCGCAACACATGTCTCACGAACCACAGCTATATTGAAAAAAAGTCCACAAGTGGGTCAGCTGTGAGTTTACGGATTTACAACGCTTAAGTCTGGGGTTCGATTTCCGAAGGTGGACGGAGTGTATGTATCTAACTGCGTAGCTTTGCACTGAGAAAACAACAACAACAAAATTATAAAACATCTTCCGAAACAAAGAAACGACTTAACGCTCATCCCATCTCTCTCAAAAATGCAAATTAAAATAAAACTTAGGTAACTGTAAACTTGAAAAGTTTCACAACTTTCTCAAGTGATAATAATACAGAAAGAAATCACTAAAGCACAACACCGTTAAAAGAAAAAGAAGAAGCGCATAAACTAATTCCTCAATTTTTATTTAATCACAGGTAAAAATAGCAACTCAATCATCATAATATTCAGGAAGGTAGACTGATACAAAGACTACTAGACAGATTGCCTGCGATTAAAGAGTTCGGCAGATAGACAAACACATACATACATATATACATACATACGTATCCCATTTTTATTATAGTTTTTTCTCATCCATAAGATGATGAAACGTGTTCCTGTCTATGTACAGTCTTGAGGCGGATTAATTCCTTTTGCCCAACATAGTTAACAAAATTAAAACTTTAGTTTCTTCGTTTTTAGTTTAATTATGCACAAA